TAAGACTGAGCGTTATTTTCCGAAAGCGTTTCAAGAAATACTTTCTTTCAATGTAACGAAAAAACATTTCATGTAAGGTTTCAGAAACGGTTACTAAAGAAACGACATTTAGGGGGTGGGTTAGGTGGTGGTTTAGCGGTGGGTTAGGGTTGGGTTAGGTGTGTTAGGTGGTCCCCCCCCGAAGGGGTTCCCGCCTTGTCGTGGCGGGGGAGCTCTAGTAGCCGTGGTCGATTTTTTTTTATTTTTATTTTTTTTTTAAATAACGCACACACTCAACATAGCCCCCAACTAGGGAAACCCTGTGTCGCGGGTGCCATGGACACACATAGACAACCACAAATTACACCCAAACTCACGAGAGAAATAAATGTAGGCCATACAAATATTTCTCCCGGCCCGGGAATCGAACCTGGGACCTCTGCGTGGCAGTCCGGCATGGTAACCGTTCGGCCACAGAGGCAGTTAAATTTTTTAAAGATTTCATCCCACGTTGAAGCTAAGAGGAACCCACGGGGCCGGCCGATGGTGGTAGGCTGGCCCGAAGAGGAGGTTTCTTCTATCTAGGCCTGGAAAAGTACGAAGGGAGGTTAGTTTTTTTGGGAAAAGCGTTTTTTTGTAACTGTTTCTGGAAAGCGTTTCTTTTTAGAAAATAACCGTTTCGTTTCCCCATAACCCAGCTTTACAGTCGAGTCTCAATAGTGTATGAAATGGCATGGTGAGTGAATGGAATGGCAGTGATGACATTCATTCACAACGATTGACGTTGCCTTACTACGGCTATTCTGTGTTCTCATCCTAATTACCGTAGCCATTTCGATGTTCTTAGCCTAATTACCGTAGCCATTGTTTTTTCTGGCCTATTACACCCAATAACGTTGAAATATGAAAACTTCAAGCTAAATTATCAATGTCTAAACGGCATTAGAATAGTCAAAGTAGTTAACAAGTTATTAAAGTAATTACCGTAGCCATGGATACGATAATTAAAGTTTAATCAGTTTTCACATCTAGTCCCCCGATGATGGAAAGTGGAAGGCGGAATCAAATTATGCAATTCCATCGCACACTCTCCGTATAGTATTATATTATCTGTGGTTTAGTTAATACGCCTAAGTCTCACAGAAGTTTTCTTTTTAAAAATACAGAAATTGATTTAATTTATTTTTAAAGACCTGAAAAATATATAACACGCTGATCATGCCGCTGCTGCCGGCGATTTCACGGCGCTCATGTCTACTCGATACAAAGTTTCCAAGTAGATTAAGTGTCGTATTCTAGAATTCTACTCAATGCTTAAGTCAGGACTTGAGTATGATTCAAAGCACTAGAAATCATACTCAAGTCCCTGCCATTAGGGTCGTATTTCCAGTGCTTGTG